TTGGGCTTGTTTGAACAATTCCCAAACACTTAATGCACATTGTAGTTTATTTACAGGTGAATATCTTGCAAAAGTTCAATTATTTCAGTAATTCAACTTAAAAGGTGAAACTAATATATTATATAGACTCATTACATTCAAAGTGAGATATTACAAGCCTTTATTTGTTATGATTTTGATGATTATGGCTTACAGCTTATGAAAACCCCCAAGTCAAAATTAGAATATTGTGAAAAGGTTTTCTGTAAGCCATAATCATCCAAATTATAACAAATAAAGGCTTGAAATATCTCACTTTGAATGTAATGAGTCTATATAATATATTAGTTTCACCTTTTAAGTTGAATTACTGAAATAAATACATTTTTCGAGTTTCACCTGTATATTACAGACATTAATAATGCCTAAAAGTTATTTGTATGGAAGCTTGTTTTCCTCCATGGAATAACAAATAAAAAAGGTAATTGTGACTTTTTATCGCGCAATTCTTACTTAATTCTGACATAAAGTCGCAATTCTGACTTCTTTTCTCAGAATTATAAACTTCTTAGATATAAACTAGCGATTGCGTGTTATAAAGTCAGAACTCAGAGGGAAAAAAAAGTCTGAATTGCGACTTTATGAGATGTAGACTCGCAATTGTGAGAAAAAAGTCCAAACTGTGAGAAAAAAAAGTCAGAATTGTGAGATATAAACTCTATAAAGATTGAGTTTATATCCGTTTTTTCCATTTTTTTTAGAATTGTGAGATAAAAAGTCGCAATTATTTTTTACATTTTTTTTATTACGTGGCGGAAATTTGAAGTGATAAAAAGTGATAAAACGTGTTTTACTTGTATTGATGTCTTGGGCTTGTATTCTATTTAATTATTTTTATTATTTATTTATTTATTTATTTATTTTTTGGGGGGGGGGGGGGGGGGCAAACTGGAGTGGATGTTATCATACCTTGATGCTTTTCATATTTCTAATAGTCAGCGTTCCCAGAGTGCATTGAAGCTCACACTATTTAGATATGTGTTTTCTATAACATATTGCAAAGGTATATTAAAGATAGCGGGACCTATCAAAACGACTTTAGATTAGCTCTATGGTATTCTAGCTACATTTCCTGGTGCTTGAAAATTAGAGCACATTAAAAATTGATTTCATTTATTTTTATGTGTCAAAGGAATAATAAAAGATATCAAGCTTGCGTTTTACAATTGAAATCCTAATCATTTCAGTGGCCTTCAGTCGGATAATTAAATAATTGGATAATTAATTAGACGTTCTGCTTTTGGCACATGGCGCACTGAATAAATCATTGGCCCCAACAGGATCGTTGAACTGCGCAGCGTGAGTCCTGCGTGACGGCAGATTCCTGTCAGAGAGTTATCAGGAAAATGTTGCTGCTCTTCCCCTCTTCTAATGTAAAGATTAGCCGTCAGGGTCACAATGGCAGGTTCTTCACAGATTTGGGATTGCTTTCTCAAACACTGCGGCTTTTTTGTGGGTTAACTCCTTAAGCAAACAAAGAGAAATGACCCATTTTCTTCCACCCCTCCCCAATTTGAATACGCTTGGAGTGAAATTGGATGAATGCGGAGAAACTACTCTTTAAACACAACAGTGGACTGAAGAATGGGGATGGGGGCAGGATTGGGATCATATTTTGGTGTGTTTTTCTTTTTTGTCTTTTGAACTGCTTGGGGCCGGATAAAGGGTGACATCCTCTTCCGATGTTGAAATCTAACAATCTACTCTTCCCATCAGAGATGTTTCTGCAGTGACTAGCCATAAGATCTAACCGAGATGTGTCTTGATGTAGGTGTGTGTTTGTCATTATATTGGTCAATTTCGTTGGTTTGTTCTTGAAAACTCAGTGGTTTGTTTGGTTTTCCTTTGACCTGGCTGTCACGCTGCTGACTTTTTTTGTGTACCATCCGTCTCAGGGAATGGCTCTACCAGATAGAGATGGTTGTAGTTGACACAGATTTCCCCTGAAAGAACAAACCCAACCCCCTTTCTACCTTCTATGAATGGAGGATGTTAAGGATTGGGGGTAGGGAGTTGGCTTAATTTAGGGTTAAGATAAACCATGGGGAGGCAAGCGTGCACTGTCTCTAATATGCTGATTTTAATGATTTAATGAAGGTATTGCCATGATCCCTGAAGAGAAAAAGATATCCCCCCCCCCCCCCCCCCCCCCACTCTTAAAGTAAGATGCTATTGATCTCTTGGGTGGTGCTTAGTTCCTTAAAATGTTGCAGAGGAAGTCTGGACGATATTGACGACAGCTCAAGCCTTTAGGAAAGTCTATATTTTAAGCACGAAACAGCAATTTTTAAAAAATAAAACAAAAAATGTTAAAGCAAATTTTTAGCAACATATATGAAGCCAAAATATTAACAAATTATTGTGATATTAATTCAGAAGCAGTTAATATCCAAGTTCATTTCAAAGGGGCCAAATGTCAAGTGGTGTGCCTCAGGGTTCGGTACTCGGTCCAACGTGTGAACATCTCCAAATCGACATGCTGTCACCACAGATAACAATAATGCTAATGCTAAATCTCAAATCTTAGCTCGGAGACGTTGTCACATCCGGTTCGATCCCATAAACTTCCATATTCTATATAAACTTAATCATTTTAAGGGGATAATTTAATAGGAATGTTAAATAGATCAAATAAACACTATGGATTTTAAGCAAAGCACTCCATGTTGATTGTGTTTAGACTAATTTCAGCTTTAGAGGTAAAAGCATGATTATGTTTTTCACAGTAACTGAGCCTTCTAATCTGTCCTCAATATAGATTAAACATAGGCAGTTTATGTTAGATTTAATTCAATTCGAGATTGAACAGTTGGCTTGTGTGGGAAGCTTGCTCAAGACGGACATCTTGGAAATGTTGTCCTTCAACCATCAGCAGAACTCAGACTCTGTACGATATATCGATCTTATCTACTGGTTAGATACATGGTTGCTTGTTGCCCAGTGAAAGTAAATTATTCATTCATCCACTACACTATATATAGACTATTAATGGTCACCAGGAAGTTCAAACAAAAAGCTGCTGACGTGACCCTCCCTGGTGTCAAATTAATTGGCTTGTTTCTGTTCGTTCTCGCACCCCTCAATGGGACATTTCCCCGCACTGGTTTTACTGTTGTTCAATGTTGTGTATGTGTGGAATGCATTCTTCATTTGGTCTTGGCGATTTAGGGTCGTGTAGTGAATGGATGTTTGTTTTGTTGGCTTGAATGAGTCGCTCTATGTCGATGTCCCACACAGTTGTCCTTCATACTAAATGCAGGAGGCCTGTATGAAGTATTATACCAAGACTTATGATAATACAAAATACTTGATATCCTCCTGCAAACCAACTTGGGTAAGGATTATATTTTAGGCTACATTTTTACACACACACACACAAACTATATAATATATATATATCGTCCAGTTTTGAGGTACTTGAATTGTTGACAAAATTGGCTTTTAGAAGATATAAATTCACAGTCTTTTTCTTCCAGGAAAATGTCTCATCTTGCATTGCTCATTATTTTATCGGTAACACTTTACAATAAGGTCTTATTTGTTAACATTATGAATGTATTAGCTAACATGAACTAACAATGGATAATACATTTGTTACAGTATTTATTAATCTTTGTTAATGTTAGTAAAATAAAAATACAGATGTTCATTGTTTGTTGTTCACACTGCATTACTAATGTTAACAAAACACAACTTTTGATTTTAATAATGTATGAGTAAATGTTGAAATTAACATTAGCTTATTAATAAATGCTGTTGAAGTATTGTTTATTCTCAGTGCATGTTCACTAATGTAGTTAACTAATGAAACCTTATTGTAAAGCATTTTATCCAATAAAAAAAATATGTATCAATTAAAAATACAGAACATTCATCTTTTTTTTTTTTTTTTTAATAAAATCCTCTTGATAACAATATAACTTATAATGTGTATCTTTAAATACACATCATATGAACAACTACACTGACTTTCACAAGCAATATAACTCACTATCAGTTGATTTTGGGCAAAAATATTATGTATGGCAAAAATCAGCAAATTCAAAAAATCTATTAAAAAAAAAAGTACTTAATCACAAATATCTTTGCATTCGATGTCCAGTGCTTGATCATTGTGTACCTACCAATGCAATTATCCACTAGAGCTGTAAAAGCGCTGCAGTTTCAGCATTAGTGCGCTGCATTTAATGGACTAGAATGCTAGAAGTCTTTGAAGGGCTCGTTTTTGTTTTCAAAGCCTCCTTTGTAGAAGCAACAATTTGGCATGCATGCTTTATAAGTGCAGTGTGAACAGCTGATGAATAGTGCATCACACTAACTGAGTCTGGCTGTTTCTGTTTCTGTTTCTGTCAGAAAGACGGCGGTCTCCTGAAGGACACAAACTTTTAATCGTGTTCTTCTTAATCATTGTGACAGCATAGCTTTAAGGACGTCATTGAGCAGTATGGATGCGCCTTAACTCAAGGAAATGTTATACATTCAAGTTGAAGTGTATGGTACGGTTTAGATTCGAATGCACAGAAATGTTGTGTTTCCAATGTTAAATGCCAGTGCCGTTCTGTTTTGCCTTTTTTTCAGATATTTTTGGTGGCAGGTCTTTATTTAGGAGTTGACATTGTGTTGTGATATTCAGATGTCTGCATCGCATCTGTTTTTTTTCCAAGATTTCCGGGGCTTGTACAAAATCACTTCTATAGACATTTACCCAGAATAATACTTCTTTTTTTCTTTCTTCTCTATTTTAGCAGATTCATCAGGGTGTATTCATGCAACTACTCCGTTGATCCAGTATTTTCAGTTAATTAAATTGAGTGGCAGGATTAAATTGGCAAAGCATTGATTTAGTTCATAAAATTGAAAGCGGTTTGTGCTTGTGCGGGGGTAGACGTGGGTGGACATGTGATTTGTACTTATAGACCGTACATATAGCTAATAAGAATGTACCTTTGTCTTCTTCACAGGGTTTGAAAGCATTTTGGAGGGGCTGTTTGGACCAGGACTCGTAAAAGATCTTACCTTCTTTCAAGGTCAGTGTTACCGTTTACATGATGGTGGTGAAGATTAAGATTACGATTACTTTTAGTCTCCAATGTTGGAAACTTCTACAGTCTAAAGAAAGAAGATCAAATTTGTATATTTTTTTTATCCTTCTTGTTCAGATTTTCTTATATTAGCCATGTTCCTGACCTTATATTATAAATGATACTAAAATATGAATTATTACATATTTAAAAGTACATTTAAAAAACATTTTGGCCACAACAAACAATGTTGCCTCTTAGGTTTTTTCAACTATGACTGTTTGTTCAAAAACTAAATATGACATTAAATGTGTGAACAAAATATATTGTGCATTTTTATCATTTTTATCAAACTACAAAAGTGTTGTGTTCAAAAATAGTATGTGTTCAAGGGGACGTACAGTGCTAGCAATGAAATTAGCCTGCGCAGGACAAAGAAGTTGGCCGGTTTATTCCAGAAATGTTTAAAGTGTTATTTTAGCCTCAGAATGCTTTAAACATAATACATAATCCGAGATTTAGTGAAGTTAGGAAGGAAATCTGGCCTAAAACATGCCGAATAAATGTGCAGATGTTCCACTGTGGTGACGGGAGCCGCTAAAAGCGAGAGAGAGATTTGTAGAGTTCTTAAGTTATTGGAGGTTTGACGTCATTAGTGACATTCGCTCTGATAAAATGAATGGTTGTAACCACAGATAACACAGATACACGAGTAGGACTCAAACTAGGGCTGTTCAACGATTAATCGCATACAAAATAAAAGTTTGTGTTTGCATAATATATGTGTGTGTACTGTGTATAATTATTGTGTATATATAAATCGATATAAACACACACACACATGCATGTATATTTGAGAAATATTTGCATGTATTTACTGTATATATTTATATATAATGTATAATAATATAATATTAATATAATATATATTTTATATATATATATATAATACATTTTTCTTAAATAAATACATGCATGTGTGTGTATGTATGTGTATATATATATATATATATATATATTAGGGCTGTCAAATGATTAATCGCGATTAATCGCATCTAAAATAAAAGTTTATGTTTACATAATATATGTGGGTGCTCTGTGTATAATTATTTTATATATATAAATACACACACATTCTTGTATATATTTAAGAAATATTTCCATGTATATACTGTATATAGATTTATATATAATTTTTATTATATATAAATATAAATATTTTATATATAAATAATTTTCTTTCTTAAATATACATGCATGTGTGTGTATTTATATATATACAAAATAATTATACACAGTGCACCCACATATATTATGTAAACACAAACTTTTATTTTGGATGCGATTAATCATTTGACAGCCCTAATATATATATATATATATACAAAAGAATTATACACAATACACACACATATATTATGTAAACACAAACTTTTATTTTGTTTGCGATTAATAGCAATTAATCGTTGCACAGCCCTAATTCAAACCATCATATTCATTCGCGCTAAAAGGCTAAGCCAAAGCCCAACTCAGTTAATTGCAAATTACTCTCGGAGGAACATTGTTTTGGTAGTTTTCTGCCTCCACTGCTCGATGGACAAATCTTTTGTACTGCACTTTAAATAATGAAACCGTTTAAAGAGGTTTTTTTGTCCACTTAAACAAAATTGCTCAGTAGAAAAACACCCGATTTCTTCTTTAGTTCTGGAGTACCCCAGGGTTCTATTTTAAGACCTTTAGTCATTTTGTAAATTCACTAAATAAAACGCAACAATCTAATTGCACATTAGCTTGTCAACCAGAAAATGTTCAAATCGTCTGTTTCTAAAGGTATAAATACTTAGTTGTTCGCTCAAGAGAACCACTCGTGAGCTTAAACCATCAAATCATATTAAGCTAACTACATTTTTTTATTCATTTTTTCACGAATGAGCATGAAATATAAACATGGCTTTGATGCTCTTTTTTTGCAGCACTTGAAGTGCAAATTAACCTCAGACATTGAACAGAATTTTTTCCTATGGCAAATATGAGCTTTTTCTCCAAGTTTTAAATTATGCTGGCAATTATCTATTAAGAAAAATACGTATTTTTGCAGTAACATTTCATATTAATAAATGTCCATTGATAAATATATTTTGTGTTTGATAATTTTAAGGACACTTCTGTTTATCTTTTGCTGTTACAGTAAGAAAACTGCTATTCATACGCAGATCAGTACAGTTTAGTTCTGGCTCTTCGTGCTCTTTGGTAATGAGAGATTGTTTGATTGCTTGAGACAGATGTCAAGAGAGACTTTTGTCTTAATTTAATAAACTGTTCTCTGTTCTTCTTCACTATTAAATAATATATCCTTATTATAACACATAATTTGTTGAATTTACCTGTCACACATAGAGTAGTCTAGAATAGAAAGATTGTCTCCTCTTGGGTTATTTTGCAGTCAGTCGGTCAAGAGACGGCAACTCCTAAAAATAAGCAGAATGACCTTTCCATGTGATTGTCAGCTAGCGGCTATGATCAGACACAGCGTTGAAAACATAATCTGCCAAGGATCATAACAAAGAAGAATATTTAAAGGGGTCATTTAAGGGGTCAAGTTTTATCACTTAAATGTCCCCCCCAGGCACACTTATGGTAGTCAAGCTTTCTTACACCAAAAACCATTGTAATTTAGTTTCTCATGACCATTTTCCACCCCCTCTTTTGAACCGTTAGAAATAAATGGGCCATTTTTATTTTTTCCGCACATGATTCCTGTCAATGTTCACCAATACATCAGATCGCCGCAGTCTTCCATGTGATTTAATTTAATATTTTGGTCACACTTTAGATTATGGTCCAATTCTCACTATTAACTTTGACTTTTGCCTCAATAAACTCCTAATTACTGCTTATTAATAGTTAGTAAGGTAGTTGTTGAGTTTAGGTATTGGGTGATTAAGGGATGTAGAATATGGTCATGCAGAATAAAGCATTAATATGTGCTTTATAAGTACTAATAAACAGACAATATCTTAATAATATGCAACAAGCTAACAAGCAACTAGTTAATAGTGAGAATTGGACCCTAAACTAAAGTGTTACCAATATTTTTAAATCAATTCAAAAAGTACTGTAAGTACTACAAATAAAAAATAAATGTAGTTAAATACGACTCATATAACCTTTATTATTTATTTTACATAGTTTTGCTTTGTCAGGATGTTCTGTTTCAGTAAATCATCCCTTTGTTTTTGAGCCCTCGGTTTCCCGTCCTCCGTTCTCCGGTCTCATCTAAGTTTACGTGGTTGCGTTCGCTATTCTTCAGCATTTTATAGTTCTCCCTCCTTTACAACTACAAGTCTGACACTCAACACACTGAAATTAGAAAAGAAAAGGTCACTTGTTGCGCATTTCATTCAATTATGCTAACTAAATATCGTCTGAGTTCAGAGCTCGAACCTCTAAAAACTTCTGAGGTTTTCTAAAAAAAAAGGAGGTTTCATTCTTTTTAATACTTTAATATAAAAAAAAAACATAGCATGGACTAAAATATTGTTTGGGTTGCTACTGAAAAATTGTAAGTGCAGGAAAAACCCACAGTATATCATTTTTGATATGCGTTATAATTAATGATAATAATTGGCCAACATTTGTTGCAGAGTGTTTGTTTGTAAAAGGATAGCACTTCACTAACACCCTTTCTTTTCCTCTCGCAGATTGTGAGCCTGAGGGTGTGTCAGATTGGTCGTTTAATGAAAATTGTCTCTTTTGCTGCTTAAGACGTGAAAAAGTGAAGGTAATTAATCTCGCTCTTATTTTCTTATCTGTGCATTTCCACAAACAACGCATCAGCAATGTCACATTTACCTTGAGTCATGCTATGTTTTCAACTTTATATACACAGTATCTGTAGTAGCTGGGTCATTGGCGTTCAATAAAAAGAGAAAAACAGGAGAGATGCTCGGTAACTCTATATCAGGAATGATTATTAGTCAAATGACATTATTATTTATTTAACTCTTTTGGTGTTTAAGATATGACTTGACAACACATGCACTTTTCAGGTGAAAAGAAAAGACTATAAGTATTCTTCTTTTCTGAATGCAATTCATTTGTTAATGAAGTTTCTAATATGATTGCTTTTGCTTTTAATTAGCTTTTTATTTATTTAATTAAGTTAGACTCTCATTGTATTTTCTCTCTAGGAAAATTTGGTTGGTTTGAACAACCAAGTGTTATCAGAAGCGGACAGCTTCAAGCAAGATCAGTCCAAAATTAACAAACTCGAGAGGCAAGCAGAGGATTTCCTCAATGTTGTCTTCTATAGAAAGGGTAAGACAAGCTTCACACACACACAATATTTTGAGCATTACACAAACTGAAACCAAAGTAGTTGAAGAATGTGTAAAGACACTTTTTCCAGTTTACTGGTATGATCAATCAATATTAATTGTAGTTGAATTGTGTGTTTTTTTCTTTTCTTAAAGTTATTTGTTATAAACAACTGCAATTACGGTGGTGAATTAAAATGATGTCCTTTTAAAATAACCCCAAATAATGATAATCCATTTTTGAAAAAATTTACAATAATTATTAAAAAAACCTTCAACTCAATTTAAAGAGGACCTATTATGCTTTTTACATGTTCAACTTTCTTTAGTGTTTAATGTGTCTGTTTGTGACACATTAAAAAGGTCTGAAAAGTCAGTATATCAGTGTCACTGTTTCTGAACTCCCTGAAACGGCCCCGTTGTAGTCTTGAGTTTTCTTCCAGGAACAAAAATGTCACAATATTCGTCATGTAAATCATTCCCACCCAAATGCACACGCAAAATAAAGAGACGAGACCTGGTTGAGTTGGTTAATAGTGTGTTAAAACTGGCGGTTATGGTAATTAGGGGCGGGACATTTCCCCAAACATGCTCGAAGCGCTTAACCAATCACAACACACTGGTCCAGCCGACCAATCAGAGCACAGTGTGCTTTTCAGAAGGAGGGGCTTCATAGAGACGGGAACTAAACAGAGTGTTACTGACAGACTGGGAAAAGAGGAGCCGCAACAATGGAGAACATGAGATTTATTTGGGGGTTTTTAACCATTCAAGCATGAAAACTATTCTATATAACAAAATAAAAAAACAAAAAAAGTCTTGAAAAGGGCATAATAGGTCCTCTTTAAATCACTTATACTGTATATATATATATTGGACAACTGAAACACTGGCCAATATTGTTGGAGGTTTCATGCCTGTATATGCACGGCCTGGTGGCCAATCTTCACTGATTTGGTTTGAATTAGCAGAGCAATTGCAATCCACACAGCATAATGGGAGACAAATCAGAGTTCAAATGCACCAATACACGCAGCAAGACTGGTGACTGAATGGTTTGATGAACATGAAAGTGAAGTTGAACATCTAAATATTAAAACCAGATCTAAATATTTGTGAGCCGCTTCACGGTATTTAGGAGGAACGATGTTATCCTCCACATAGTGATCTGGCCTCTCAGACTCCCTCTGGACACTGTGAAGGACTTCTGTCTGTCATTCCCAAGACGAACTGGTGCTGTATTGGCCACAAAAGGAGGCCCTACACTATAATAATTCATGATTTTGGTTTAAAACCCGCTGTTTTAGTTTGATTGTCCAATCACACATGAACACATATTCTACAGTAAACCGCATAGGATACGCATATGTACAAGATAAGGGTTTTGAGGTTCAAATGTTTTCAGGCTGCTTTCCTTCCTTGTGGTGTGTGTATTTGATGTTTTATACTCTGCGGAAACGGTCTTCCCTCTTGCAGAACTTTACTGGGCTGTAGGAAGTGTTTTCACAGCCTTGTCTGCTCAATCCAGGGCCTTTGATTTTAACAATGGCAGTAAACAAGCGCATTGTGAAATAGTTTGATGAATGTTATAAAATTCACAAAAGAGAAAAATTGATGAGATGGTATTTTTAGTCAAATATTAACTTATCTTGTTCATGTTCACCTGGCTGGTCAATAACAATATTGCAAAATACATAAGAGACTTGTTCAAGTGTGTGTGTATAGTAGGGGTGTAACAATACTCTCATGTTACAATTCGATACATATCACGATACTGAACTCACAATACGATATTATTGCGATCCTCCAAGACATATGATAAAAGGTTAACAAAAAATGAACTGTTGATTAAAATGCTAAATTTAGTATTACATTGTGTGTGTAAATGAATCGGCTTGGACTTGGTGCTGGGAACCCAATGAACGGGACAATAGAGACACCAGAATAACAATATTCACGATTCTGAAGCTGAAAACTAATATGCTTTTACTCTGTCAGTGACTAGATATATTTAAAATAATATTGGCCACTTTTTACTGGTAACATCAGACATTTGGCATTATCAGGACACACAAATATTCCCCCATTGCATTATTATACATTATATTCAACATTATATATAGCAGTTTAATGTAGTACTGACACTAAAACTCTGTAAACTTTAAATTTTTTATTTTTTATTTTGGGTAAACTATACACAATATATATTGTCACTATCCACGATACATATTGTTGCATTTTTGTATTGCGATATATATTGTGACACGATATATTGTTACACCCCTAATATATAGACAAAAAAATACCAAAATTAAAACAAAAATTGAAAATATAAAAATAAAGAACATTAAAAACTATAGCATCTCAATGATACTAAAAACACTGGTGTAAAGTGTGAGCTTGGAGTGATCAAAATATTTGGAGGCTAGACATATACAGTATCTTATGGCCAAAACTAATTTCTCTGTATCTTGAAGTGATACATACACTACATGCATTCACTGGCTCATTGCATCCCGTATGTCTCTCTCAGCAGACCTCCCAAAATTTACAGACCCCCACATTCCTCTAGTGGCTCGTGAGATCATGCAGCGAATGATCCGACAGTTCGCTGCCGAATATACCTCAAAAACCAGCTCAACTCAGGACGTACCCCAACCCCAGTCCCAGCCCAACGGCACCAAGGACCAAAGCCTGCCGAAAGCGCCCTCGCTGGACCCGGACGCCTCCACACCCGCTCCCGGCACCGGCGCCGCTGCCTCCGCACAGAACCCCGTCCTCAGCAAGCTCCTCATGGCAGACCAGGACTCCCCGCTGGACCTCACCATCAAGAAACCCGAGACGCCAGAGCCCAGCGAACAAGGTGAGGCCACTGCTGAAAAACTGCTTCTTAACCTGTATGTGTACCTTTTTTTAAAGTCGGAACATCCCTTTTTAATGTTTTCAAAAAAAAAAAATCAAATAAGTCTTTATTTAGGCTATTGAAGAATTGAAAAAAAAAAAAACCTGATTAATCGCATCCAAAATAAAAGTTTGTGTTTACATAATATAGGTGTGTGTACTGTGTATAATTATTTTGTATATATAAATACACACACATGCATGCATATATTTAATAAAAAATGTGTTATTTATATATAAAATATTTATGTTTATTATATAAATTATGTATAAATACAGTAGTCAACATTTGAAGTGGATCAAAATCTTTTATTAAATTTTCTAACAATACTCAACTTTGATGAACTTTATTGATCCACTTCAAATGTTGACTACTGTATATGTACAGTATATACATGCAAATATTATATACTGTATATATATATATATATTATGTATATACTGAATTATATACATGCATATTTATGTATTTTTATATACAAAATAATGATACACAGCACACACACATATATTGTGTAAACACAAACTTTTATTTTGGATGCCATTAATCGTTGCCCAGCAATAAAAAAAAAGTTAAATAGTTATAAATAATCCAGGCATGTATTCCATTCCATTAAACATTTTTTTTTTAAAAAGGAACAATTTTATTCTGTATTCACTGAAATATCAATACATTTTAATAAACAGCAATTTACCTACATTTTTTTAAGCATGTTCATTTCCAATCTGTCAAAATTGGGGCAAATTATGATTCAGTGTTTTGAGCAGAATCATTTAAAATAATTGATACGCAAAAAGTAAAGTAAAACTAAAATAAGGTTTAAAGATTTGCCTGAAAATACACTTAAAATCCATGTAGCCTAACTGTTGTACTTATACAAATTGTAATAAGAAATCGTAAAAACATGCTTTAAAATCATAACAATATTTAACTTTGCTGATTGGAAACAAAATATCAAATGTATTGAGTCAGCTTGCAAAGTTTTGAGACAGATGAATGTTGTTCTGGTTGAGATTAGCTCTCTGCATAGTGGTGTTTCCACAGCTGTATACATTTGTTGTATACAGAGATTGTCTTGCATTTGGGATGTGCATTACTCAGTTTGGAAACTGTGAATATGATTACAGAAATGATTATAACCAGGACCTCATAAAGAGCATGTAAAGATCTCTCAAGACTATAAAATATCATGGATCTATGATGAATGGTTCAAGGGAAACTAGATGCTTTGATTCAGTTTGGTCAACTGATGTTTGTTTTAGTTTGGTCTTAGTATATGACACCGTTGTATTTGCAGATGGAGTCCTTGACCTCTCAACTAAGAAGAACCATAGTCATGGTAGTGTCTCAATGAAAAGCTCTCATGGTTTCTCAATCATGCCCACAGTTAAGGGGTAAGAAGTCCTTTTTTCTTCTTTGTGGCATTGTGACCATTGTCTGTTGTACACATGACTGTAACAGTGAATCAGTGAATGAGTTTTTAGTCCTATCACTAGTTGCTTATTTTAAGTTTCACTTTTTGTTCGAGGTAGTTCACAAAATGAGCACTTCAGTAACATCACCCGCTACAAAAATAAGATTCAGTTAGTAGGGATGTCCCATGAATGAATATTGAATGAATGAGTCAATGAATATTGATATATTATATATACAATATATATTAGGGCTGTCAAAATTAACACCTTAACGCACACAATACATTTTTCTACTTTAAAACATTATTCATATATAACACAACGCGGCATCCATTTTTCTAGTGTTATATTATATGATCTGTGTATCTCCTGTCTGTGTGACAGAAACACGACCCGTGCGCACAGAAAGGCGCTGGAACAGACAAGACCACACAAAATTATGCCAAAATGCCCGTTTAGCCGAGTATCCTCGCAAGCACAGTCTTACACGAGTGAAATGAACGTAAAGAGTCGGGAAAAATGGGATGCGTGTCAGATCCATGTCGTGCATCGGGTCTTAAAGTGACAGCTGCCTAATAAACCTCCTCCTGTTTCTTATTAATGTTAGTCAAAGAACAAAACCAAAGAGAAAATCACTCATTGCTCTTGACTGAATAACTTTTGTAGCTTTAATAAGGATTAATCTATATTTCATTTATAGTTAATGCAATGAAGACTGTGAAGTGTTTGATAACTTTACTCAATTTCTGTATATTACCTGTTAGACCTACCTGAAAATCTTAAAGCACTGTTAATAAGGTCACATGGGTCAAAAACAACGAAAACAATGACTTTTTGTGCAATCTGACCTCGTCTGACTGGGCCAATAGGGAAAAAAAATTAGCCCTGATATATATTGAAGGGCAGGTAAATGTGACATTTATGTGAAGATTGTTTTAAGTTAACTTCAATTAAAAGTTATTTATATATATATATATATATATATATACAGTATATATATGCACACACATTGGTAGATGTAAACATCTGTTACAATGGTAGACATTGTATACAGACTGTGTGGTTACAATTATGAATATGATTATAATATTGAAATGAACTTCTAGTATTGAAGCTCGTGGTGTCCGAATGCCAGTCTGTCAGTCAAGTCCGAAGCAAGACGCAACCCATAACAACGCGTGTTAAGGCAACGATGTCTCAGATAGTCTGACGGCATATAAAAATAAACAATAAATAAATGACTTTCGAGTGGCTTGTTACAAAAGTGTGCATCAAATATGTTAAACACCAAAGCTCGAACAAGCGTGGGTAAAACGCTAGAATAGACCTCATTGGTTCTTGCGCTTCACGCAGGCATATTTGAGCTTCGTATTTTCCTTTTAATGGCGGTGGGCAAACAAATCCACGTGAAGCTGCAACTGCAAACTACGGCACAACACCTGCGTGACAGCTGACGAAAAATAACGGATCGGCCTCGGGATAACCAACACCAATCAGTTTTAAAAAAGCATAATCGACACCGATACCGATCAGTAAGTGAAAAGCATTATCTGTAATTTTAGATTTATTAGCGAGCATTTCAAGCCAAACCATGTTATGCAAAGATCATAGAAAGACTGTTGCTTCACCAGTGTTTGGTACAATACTCATTTATACTCTAGGTACAGGTGTCCTTAAAATACGACTCTTTTTGGTAAAAAAAAAATTTTTTACTTGGATATACAAAAAACTCCCAAAAAGTGCATGTCTGTGTAGTGAAATTTGTATAAGTCTTGTACCGAATGGTGCGTTTTTACAGTTAAGAACTTTATTTGTACCATGGGCAAGAATACAATTTCATAATTTAGCTGATGTTTGAAAGAACAGCAACCAGAGTAATCTAAGTGAAGTATCATCAGAGCACAATGGTGATAGTTTATGTATAACCCCTTGTGGGACCTTCAGTTTCCTGCTTAGACAATCAACTTTCCTTTCTGTACTAAGACACTTTACTAAGGTACAGACAATGTGGTACATTTCCTCAGAAAAGGTACATTTATTGTTCTCTGAAAACTAGATGCAGAATGGTACTGTGAATGATTGTCTATGAAACCACACAAATAAGGTACAAAAACGTTGTTTTTTTAACAAATTTTATGTGTTTTAACCTTGGATCAAACTACATGTCTAAATACACTTTAAAACTCTGATTTGTTTTATTTTTAGCTATAAAACTAGCATAGATGGAAAAACATTTAATTAAAAATGACAACATGTATGAAATTAAAACGGCTAGAATGGGTTACAGGCTAGCAAATTTGTGTAAGTAAATGTGTAAGTCACTGAAGTAGGGGTTAGCTAGTTTGGTACCAGATGTTGGTTTCCATTTATTTTCCATAAATTAAAGAAAAAATATGAGTTTGATATTTTTAAATTCCAATATCTATGGTAATGGGGATGAATGATTGAGCTTGACAAATGCATTACATCATTAAGTTGGTCATTATAAATAGTTTTGTAGTTATAATGATTATAAATAGTTCAAGATTATGTGTAAATCATAACGTTTGGCATTCATTCTTCAACACAGTCGGGAATCTGTGGTATTTGTTACTCTTTACAAAAAATGAATGTGACTATTCATGGAAAATCCCCTATTCAATTTCTTGAAGACAACAGAATTGTTCCTTTCCATTAAGTACAAGACTTCATCCCAGTAACATACCACATTCTCACATATGAACATTTTATCTTTCCATAAATTAGGCGTTCCCAGAGAGCTGATCACAACTATCGAGATGTTGACGATGAGGATGGCTTGCCACCGAGAAGCTTGCATGATGGGATAAGGGAGAACTGTATAAGTTCTGGACCCCTCAAGCCACCGTTGGCCCGTTCACTCCTTATAAAAGAGGAACTCCTGAACCAGAAACATCGCCTCCTCGGCCAACCCACACCTCTTTCTTTGGCTAGCCTAGAGTCCGTGGGTCTCCTCAACAGCCAAGCCCAATCCCTTCTTTCACGTGAGGGATCATGGGGAAAATCCCATCTAGACAGCCTCCTGAAGCTCAAACAAATTGGCGGGAATCTCAGTGACCTAAGCGACCTGCCTCTCTTCCAGGAGAACCTAGGCCTGTTCACCAAGGGCACAAAGTCCCATGACACTGGCTCCATCACGGTAAAGAAAGAACCAGGACATTCCCCTCCAGTAGACTTGAAAATCCCGCAAGTCAGAGGCATGGACCTGTCCTGGGACTCCCATGGGAACGCCTCGGATCTCTATAGTTACAGCTCTATAACGATGGGAAACGTGCACTCGGAGAATGCGCTCAGTAGGAAGCTGAGGGTCATCTTGCCAAAGCAGAGTCGCAGGGCCGCTCTGGGAGGCCTTCTCGATGCAGGAGCGGTGGCCGAGTACTGGGGGGCAGACCTCGAACAGCCAACTCTGGGACCCCAGTACCCAACATCAGACCCAGAGGCCGACCCAACAGGCTCCAAGCAACCCCGAAAGAAAAGGGGACGGTATCGGCAGTACAACACTGAGATTCTAGAAGAAGCCATTGCTGTGGTGATGGGTGGGAAGATGAGCGTTTCAAAGGCGCAAAACATCTACGGCATTCCCCACAGTACCTTGGAGTACAAGGTAAAAGAGAGGATGGGCACACTGAAGAACCCACCAAAGAAAAAGCTTAAACTGATGATGAGGGCCGAGGGGAAAGACTCTGGGATCACCGGCGAAACCGAATCCACGTCGACGCCCGCCACCACACCCATCGCAACGCCAGTGGATCTCTTGCAGGGGACAGGAGACAAAGTCGAGTAGATTACACAGAACACCTCATAAAATGGAAACAGTTTTAGATTCTGACAGAAACAATTGATGATTTGGAATTGAGGATGGGGCTTTAATTGTGCCAATTTACTTGCAGTATCTGGGTGAGCACAACTGCAGGGATTGATGGGAGGATTTAAGCCTCATAACTGGGGATAAGAAACAAATTGGCAGTTATCAGTGGTCGCATTGACACTGCAAGCATTTGCTGAAGTTTTTTTACAACATAAAGCAACAAATGCGTACTAAAGCCATAAGAGAGTATCGACAGAAAGACATTTTTGTTAAAAAACGAAAAGCAAGCAGATCAACCCTTTGTTCGCCCCCTTCATCATGAACTTTGCTAGCTGTGCCGTTAATGCTCATGCGTTTTGGACGGCGGCCATTTTGAGAAATGAGAAGTGGGGTTTGAAGGGTTTCTGGAAAAAAATAACCCTTCAAAAATGAATTCATCTTCTCTTCTTGGTAGGTTTATGAAATAATTCATGATCTTTAAAACTAATTTATTTCAAATGGAGTTGACAAGGATTCTCACCAGGGATCAATCCTAGGCCCGTTTTCTATTAACAGGTAAAAACGATTGCTTTCGACTCTTTGTAGTTTCCTCCTTTTATATTCTGCGCCATTGAAACAGACTAAGAATTAGACACGTCCATTTTAAAACAAAAAACAAATGAAGCTTAAGATTAGTCATTCAGGGATGCATGTTTGTGATGTTGAAAAGATTTTTTTTTTTTTTTTTTACTTTACTGTATAACTAAACTTTTCTTTAACTCTAGCGCTTTCTTTTGCACTACACTTTCAGTCTGGCGCTCGCCAGAGCCTAAATCTGGCAATTAGACCTGATTACCTCGACACTGCTTGCATTACGCACTTACTGTTCTGTCTGGCATACTACATCATACTCATTTTACAGTACTCTACTCTTGGTGAGAGCCTCTCTCTTAAAAGGTTTCCAAAACCCATGAAGGGACAATGCCGACTTAAACCACACAGGACAGGAAAGTGTTTCAGATTCACATCTTTCTACTAAAATGAATCGAGGGAGGGTTCATGCAGTCGATTTTTGGCTGTTTCTGGCGGCTCCCTCGTCGCTGCTTATAGTCAGTCACTGACGTGTATATTTATAAAAAGAAAAGCATTTTTCGCAGGGGGTTGGTTTTGGGGAGGGTGGAACATAGGTGGGGGGAAATGTAGGTCGGGTTATGACCATGTGACCCGGTTATATTATACATTTGCGTTCTTTCAGAGAGCCAATTGTTGTCTCTGAATAGATTCTTTTCCTCATGTAAAACTCAGGGCAACTGAGACAAATATAGCGATCATGTTTTTAGAGAAACAATGCATCTTACCTACTTGAACTGGAACCCGTGACACACTCTCAGTAAATGAGTTGGGTCAGGGGCAGGGCTTTATACCGGGCGTTAGTTGGGTCGAGCTGAGCCATGGATTGCAGATATTGGTGGGATGTTATCGTTCGAAACACCTGGCCAGGTGGGAATTTTCGGAGATCTCTCTGAAAATAGCACTTTGTTTAAAAATAAAAGCGAATATGTTTGGGGGCGCGTTTTAAAGTAGCTTTTGCAGTAGCAGATAGCATAAAGGAGACTTGCGAGATCAAAGGGGGATCATTTCAGCGACCCCCGCCGTCCTGCAGCTTAGACCCAAACATGCTCATTTTGTTTTGAAAAGATTACCTCTTTAATATACAGTGGTCGACAGCTTGAACTCTCAGATTTGTCTAGTGTTGCCTAACTGGTTAGTGTCACATTGCCCCTCTTCAAATCTAAACCGTGTCACCTGATGTATATAAAACTGAAAAAGCGCGTAGATCTGTGAAGATTTCAAAGACAAGGCTTTTGGAATGGCATGCTCCACTTTGGTGTTGTTTGAAGGGCATTCTGGTATATCACTGCCTGGTGCTCACCCAGTCTGTGACAAAAATGATACTTCAGACTTCAGGGTTTCTGATGATGAAACTGACTCTATGAAATGTACCTTTTATTTATTTCATTATTTAATTTCAATCATTTAAGTAAATGGCATGCACCAGTTCAGTGGAGGCTGACACTTTTGGTGACCGGGAACACTGTCCTGGCCTCACCTTTACAATTTTGCCCAGTGAATTCAAGTCATTTTAAAGGCCTTAATTGGGCTTTTATGTATTGGACAATTTCCTACAACACTATAGTTGTTTAAATTATCTTATTAATCAAAAATTATTTTTACTTTTGTTAGCTTTGTTTAATGAATTTGCATTGCCATTATAGCCATGTGTGGAGACACTACTGAAATCTTGATTGATGTAATATATATATATTTAGTGCAGTTTTTAAATTATGATCTGTACTTCTACAATTGATTATGTAGCAAGTCGAAGGGAAGCTAGCTAAGTTAGAATCATATTCATACTTATAGCTCTACATGTAAATCCCTTTAGGTCATCTGGCATCAAATGCACCAACACTTTACCAATGCTGAGCGTTTAAAGTGTCTAATTAGAATTTAGTTTGGTCCTTTATCAATCAATCAGGTTATTTATTAATCAACGTGATGTAAAATAACACTCTTGCCATTTAAACATTTTCTTAAGCAGTATTGTCTTGTTTTACAGTAAAAAAATCCAGAAATTTTTTCTTGATTTTACAGAATATTTGAAACCCTACTGGCAAATGTGTTTTTCTTGTTTTAAGTATAAATCTAGTTGGATTTTTCAATAAAATTGCTTAACTTTTACTGGAAAACAAGATAAAGAATATTACTTTGCAGTGCAGCCAACTAGTAAATTATAAGTAGTAGATCAGTAGCTACATCTCGATTGTTAGTACTACTAGAACAAACAGATTCTATTATAATTGAATATTTGCCCTTATAAATGGCACTTATGAACTATTGCACTGATGGCCATGACTGGAAGTTGTTTTGCAGCACTTAAACCCTTCGGAGGAAACCTCCCTATTGTTAATCTAGAAAGTTTGAAACTTTCAAATTGCTACTGTACATTCTGCAACCTAATTCCGCCTGATTCACAACGGTGCATGCCATTTCGACATATTTATTTTATTTTTAATTCAATGATTAATGTATTACAGGGTTAACGGCTCCCCCTGTCCAAAAACATCCTCCTCTTAAAGAAATGAAAACATCTTTACACAAATGAATGTAGAACCATTTCGGAATGATTTCTGAAACTAGTAGTTTAGAAAACACGGCACTTTCACATTTCATACATTTGAACAGACTGTTTTAATTTTTCTCTTGCTGCTCGTTTCGATAGTTGTCGTTTTATTTGCGTTTCTCGGAAACGTACACCTGTAGCCTTCCGTACTTTCGTATCTCAGGATAGATTCAGCAGAAGGGTTCGCAATATTTGTCAGTCGGATAACAATGCAGACATAACTACCTGTACAAGAAGTGCATAGACATGTTATATTAACTCCAATCTTTGCACAATATACCTCATCCTTGGGAATAACCGCACCTTTCTGTGCCACATCCTTAAATACCATTCAGGGGCACGTGGAAAAGGAGCGGTTGAAACTCTGGGAAATTAATTTTATTTTCCTATTTCGCCCCTCTTTTTTGTCTTCTATGAGAGGGATGGCGAGGCATTTCATGTGTCTGACTGACCAATATTTACACCCTTTTCATTTAGGTACAGAAAACCGATTTTTTTGATTACAATCAAAAATTTCGCTTCTTGCCAATAACGGGTCCCATCCTTTAAGTTAACTGTCGTTAATCGTCAAGGCAAACATCAACGGATACTGTAAGACACAATCCCCTTTTCCTGTACTCTGAATAGCGATTTAACCATCAGGTTTAACCCTCAAATGGAGGTTCGAAGGGTAGAATATGGGACAGGTGGAAATGTTAACCTTTCTGTTGTTTTTGTGCTCTTTGTAAACTTGTTTTTAAACTGCATTCCAAAAATTTCAAGAGATACCTTTATATGGAAGAAAAAATCTATACATATTACAAATGAATATATTATATTTATTTTACTGTTAATCTTTTTTTATTTGTCTTTTTGTTCTGGTTGACACTGAACTGCTACACAAAGAAATGATGGAAATCGACGCCGACAGCTACAACCTGAGTTTCTGTACCATACGAAGTGCCATTTGTTTTGTCTCAAGTGGCTCATTATGATTTCTTTTCTTAAAAGATGCTCGGATAGCCTTTTCTTTTTTCGACCTCCACTGCATATCCACATAACAGCATTACCTCAGGTGAGACCTCTCCAGAGCACCTGATTCTACATTTGGTTGTAGAAATCAGGACCTGTACTTGACTTTTACACGTTTCCAAAAAACGCAACGATCGCTTTTCAAGGAAGCGGTTTATAAATAACGCTAGTCGCATTTTTTGTTTTCCTCCGGTGTATTTTAAAATCGAATGCTTTGCTTAACTGAACCACGGGTCTCTTTTTGAATACAACTTTAGCACACGTTCAAATCCATAGGGCACACATTTGTACTCCACAAATAACACTCACATGCACACAAAACACCATCATGACGTCTACATCATGTGGGTGGTTTACAGTTTTAAGCTATTGGTTTGATACCTCTTCAAGGGAAACTAGTCGGTTGTGACATTAGAAAGAATCTGAAAAGGGAAATATGGACACATAAACACTCCGAATTTGATGTCTAATTGTATCTGATTAACAACTGCCATTTAAATACATATTAGTGGTTAAGTTGCATTTTATTGAGATTGGATAATAGTTAAGCCTGTCGTCATGTTGCGATTCCTTCAAGTTTAACTCTGGATTTTTATTGATTTGGGCAAAATTAAAATGAATAGGCACACCTTTATTCAACAGAAAACATTTGGAATTGGGAGAAACAAATTGTCGGCAAACATTTTAGTCCAATTTTATTATAGATATCCATCGGACTGTCAATCTATGCACTTGAGTATTATTTTTTTTGAGTTTGTGGTTATATCAAGTAGTTTTAGGGGCCATTTTGTTCTTCGTTGACAATTTAAATGGCATTATGTCAAGTAAACAAGTTTTAGATAAGCAGTGTAGCTTAAAATAGCAGTTGTCATGGTGCAGCACACGCCGTGGTAAAATACATGTTTTCGAATGTAACCTAGAGAAACATGTCTCAGAGAAAAATGATGGAATATATAGAGACACTTGCCATGATACTGTATACATTATGCATTTCATTGAAATGTTCATTTTGGTGTCATCCGTCTTGCAGTGTTCAATCGTCACCGATAATTTGATAAGTGCATTCAATCATCGTTAAACGAATAAACATTGTTTACTAATTCATAGAAAAACGATAATGAGCCGATAATACCTATGGATAATTGGTAACAACATTCGAAAATCATTAACCAGGGCGACCTACAATCTATATATTCGTTTTTTTACACTGAATTGAATCAATGTCGCCTTGATTACTTGAATGCAATTAAATCAAAATAAATGCATGTCATTTTATTTATAGGTGAAGTGTGTCATTTCTGGGCCACAATGGCAAAAAGGTTTTGTTTTTAAACATGTTCATCCGGTGTGCCATTGGTCCACGAACAGATAATCCCACCCCAAACTCGCTCTATTGGTCGAACCAATGTTGCTACGCTAGATGCTCACACAAACAGGTCGATGTTTGTAAAACATACGCTTTTTGGGGGAACCCTCTCTAGTCGACATGAAACGGGGACAGACATTTTTTTTAAAATACACACTTCATCTTTAAAATGAGAGAGGTTTTAGTGAAACTGTGAATTATATGGAACAGAGCCATGACCTCTACAATGAAACATTAGTATGGATGACAGTGAAGTCGTTGCTCTTAAAATGCTCGATGCTAGCTCAGTGAGAGGTCAAGTAGAGCTGTGAAAACGCAAATGAAAGCGAAAATGGAGGAAACGTGCTTGATGAAATAGTCGGCATTCTTCTAGAGAACTTGAGAGCTTTTGGCTGTTAAAGGGCTGCCATTGTGTTGCCATGACAATCTCGCAAGATCATTCACAAGTAAAGGTGTGCCTATTCTAATTGCTGTTTTCCTTGAGGCAAAACCATATTCTTTTGTTCTTTTATTGTACACCTGGATTGTGCATTCTCAGTATTTCATATGCGATATGCGTCTACAATCAAATGTAGACCAACTTTTTCTTTCCTTAGTAACTTTTCTGTATAATTTGGCGGGACACGAAGAGAATATTAGATTGAAACGTGTTGGGAGTTGTGATATTTCCAAACAAGAGTCCTTCTTGCTGTAATGCGTGTTGGCATTGCATGCCTGGATCTGCTCATTAAACTCATCCATGACTGTTTCAACCCTGCAGTCCATTGAGTTCTGCGGGATTAGGATTATTAGTTTTGCTACCTCAACTTGCAGATGATTTTGACATAGGAGTCCTTTGGTAGGAAAGCAAAAATGACTTGTATCTTGAGGGACGGACTGTCTCTAAAGGCTTTTGCCGATCAGGTTGTGGAAAAACGTGTTTGCGGTTTGATCGGCTTACCCGCCGTACTGTATGTAGCATTTCAGATGCACGGAAAACACTGGCTCGTCGCTCCAAAAGTCACGGTCCCGTTCTATCGGAAAGCAGTTATACATTCCGCATGCACATGTGTGTACCTAATAAACCACATTTATGATCGAGGTAATGGCTCTTTTTGGACCATAATGTCCTAAGTTATGCATCTTGACTGCTTCTAAGTCCAGTGTTTGGGAGGAATATCAGGTCGACCGATCACCTCTAAAGTTGGGAATGCGTCGTTGTGTGTTTTTCCTCTAGAATCTCAGTATAGTCATTCCACACCATATGAGTTTCTGCCCTTGAAATTCAAGCCAAATGCAGTCTGTGGGCAGGATCTTTGTTTGCAATCGCATTTGCATTCATGCGTTTATGGCGCACATCTCATCTCTTGACGGGATGCTGTGCTGCACTTTTTTGGGCGGTTTTTCCATGTATGGAGTCGAAGCTTTAAGGAGCAAAAATGCCTTTTGCTATCTGTTCGACTGTGTTCATATTTCCAAGTACTTTTTAAAGTTTGGTAAACATTTTCAGAGTGGAGTCTCAACGTTG